CACAAATGGGAATTGGGAACAGCATCAAGTCTGCTACTACTTAACACATTTTGGAGAATGAATAGCTGAGATATATGGAGTGAGGTCAGTAGGTCAATACACATCTCTTTACCGTCCAGATTTGTAGCAAGCACTGTGACTAATACAGGTGCTCTGACAGAGAGAAAAATAAGCAAAATGAAGAAAGGTATATGAAACCTACATAGCCTTCTCCACTTGCTACATTTTGCTGGCAACTGCTTGTAGAGATCTTGCATGCTCTGTGCATATTATTCACTTGAAGCTATTATTGGCAGGAGCTAATTCAGAGTACCTTAATGTGTCAAGAGAATTACTGGCAGCAGATGGATATAATAAACTGAGATGAAAGGCAAGGGTGGCTTGGTATTCCACTAAGCGGGCAGAGCTAGGGGATTACTCTAGAAGGCATTTAAAGCAGAAGTGAATTCAACAGAGTGATATGGAAAAATAACAAATATATGTATATATAGAACAAAGGCCATAGCTGCCCATGTACTGACATCATATTGGCAGGAGGTCAACAGGCAACTGATTTGACCTAATGTGATGGGCTGACCCTGGCTGGGTGCCAGGTGGCCCCATTCTCCCCCTCAGCTGGACAGGGGACAGAAAATAGAACAAAAGGCTTGTGGGTCGAGACAAGGGCAGGGAGAGATGACTCAACAGTCACCATCATGAGCAAAACAGACTTGACTTGAGGAAAATTAATTTAATTTATTATTAATCAAACCAGAATAGGATACCAAGAAGTAAGAATAACTCTTAAAACCTCATTCCCCCACTGTGGAGGACAGCTGGACAGGGGACAGAAAATAGAACAAAAGGCTTGTGGGTCGAGACAAGGGCAGGGAGAGATGACTCAACAGTCACCATCATGAGCAAAACAGACTTGACTTGAGGAAAATTAATTTAATTTATTATTAATCAAACCAGAATAGGATACCAAGAAGTAAGAATAACTCTTAAAACCTCATTCCCCCACTGTGGAGGACTGTGGGGTCCTCCCCGGGCTGCAGGTGGGGATCTGCTCCCCCGTGGGCCTCCCTG